ATATATATATATATATATATATTATCCATCGTTTCCATCCCCTTTCTGAACCCTATTCGATGGAATCAATCCCTTTTCTTCCACTTCCTCTTTCAATTTTTCCGCTAATGTATTTATATTATTAACATCAATCAGATCAATTGTGGTTAATGTCCGAATGTTTCGATCACATCTGAGATAATTAAATTTAAAAAATTAAGAATTTGTATTGTATTGATGACATATAACTTTGACCGATTTGTGTACTTCGCAGAAAGTGCTGTTATAATTTTCGTAAAAAATCAGTCTTAAAAGTGAACTCTAATTGCAACTTATGGATATTCATATCTAAGAAACAACCTGACCTAAAGATTTTGTAATGTAACCTGATCACTCGCATATGTTAACGAGTCAGTTTATCAATGTTCTTTGAATATTGTGAACAAATGATGTTATTGTTGTTGCAACGCAAATAAATCACTCTGACAACATTCACAATTTTCATCTGGAAATTTAATTTTTTTAAGGATGTAATCTGACACGTACACGACAGTGATAGACTTTCTTCAATTCTTCGAAATTGACATTCAACAAGTGACTCAATATTCCTGAATGTTTCAGTTTCTTTAGTTGTATGTTTTCAGCAGCAACTGTCCTCAAAAAATGTCCAAAATTTTCTAAATTATTGCAATTGTCTTCATAATTTGTAATTTTCGATTCTGATGCGACCAACTTATTTAAAATGACTATTTTTAATGCGATAATGAAATGAACTGATAGCAAATGGGATTGGAATTTTGAATATCATGTTGTCTGTTACAAAATAGATTTTCAATCGGATTCTGATTCCTTAAAATCAAGCAATGAAAACCTAGCTTCTGTAATTGCTCTCATAAATATATAACAACTCGAATTGTTATTCATATATATCTAGTTTTTCACAAAGGAATAAATATTTATGATATTTTTTTCATTGTTCAAATTAATCAGTTTCCACGAATTCATTTCGATAATAATTTGATCCATAACTTAGTATGAAGAGTGCCATCTTTTAGCATGGTTCTATACATTTTATTGTCATAATCATTGCTTGTGACCATTTAAAGAATCGAAGAGATCATCAATTGAACGAATATTGTTGTATCCAATGCTACAGAAGACATAATTTCACAAATTATCATGGAATTAATTGCTGCAGCAACAATCGCAATTATCGTGTATCAATTTTAACTCTTTTTTTTTAGTTTTTTAGTTTTTTATGAAACTATCTTTGAAATTAAAATTTTGTATTGTCAGTTTGTATAATTGTTTAAATGGTCTCATCTGGTCTATTTCGAAAACTGTTTTTATATGTTCAAATTTATATGTTCAAATTTTGCAATTTTATTATTTTCGAATCTAATTTTACATTTTAGCAATGCATTTCGCATACATTTGAGTAAGTGAGAGACATCGTAAATCATCACTATTGTTTCATTATTGACAGTAAAAGTATACGTAATTGGATCAACTTGATTTTCAAGCACACTAGCTCTGTAATGACTTTTCTTTGGGTGGAATCCTGATCGCAAACTGTTGCTTTTACTATTATTCCAATTTTTGTAGTTCAGAAATTATGTTCTTTATTATTAGCCTTAAGATTCAGACAAGAAATTGTATGTGTAGTAAAATAGTACGTTACAACTTGTTTTCAGGATTTCCGTAAACCTCTATCATTAAAACAAGAGCATGGTTTGCATTTGCTGGTTTGCTTGTCTGACTCAACTCTCCTAGGTTTTCGCCAATTATTTTTTGTTTATGAACTTCATAATAAAAGCCAGTCTAAAAATACTTCATGTCTAAAAATACTTCAAACAGTTAAACATAATACCGGTAAACATAATACCGATCCAACAGATTCATTTCATCACTTTTGATATTTAATTGTTGCAATAATAACTTGTTAATTCCAGTATTAAAAGAGACCTTTGAAAGAATATTTTGCAACGTACGAGATGATAACTGAAAATAGACAGATATTTGTATATCCGTGGACGACGCTTGTGATAAAACAAAAAGTGATAAAGCAAAAATTTTATCTTGTTTTGTCCGTCTTCTCGCAAAAGATGATCGGTCTACGTTTCATAATTGAGAGTCAATGAAATTTTTACCTCGTTGAGTCTATACATTCGAAAATTCCGCGATTATAGCACTTTTTCAATTGTTTCAAAATGTCCGTTTTGTTCTGCAATTGTCTTTTAAGTTTATATATTATTTTTTGCAACTTTTCGATGAACTTCGTACATTCGATTCTTGCGCGGCGTCATTTCCTTTGAAGATACATCTGCCTTTGACAAAAACCAAATTTTCTTTTTTTTAATATTGTTTGTACTGTTAGTGCAAATGAAATATTCTATTGTCATATTATCTGTACTGTCGATCATATTATCGTGAATACAATATAACGGATCATAGTTTTCTCTATTTTCTGATTTTGAACAAATGTGAGAATTAACATTTTCAACATTTGCAATATTTTCGCATAAATTTTTCGTTACATTAATGTCAGTGACAGCATTCTCATAGACTATGTCATTATGAACGGAGTTATTGTTTTTGTCATTAATTAATGTGGACATTACACGCGAATCATTATAAACAAAAGATGATTTAACAGAATTCAGTAGTTGCAAATAATTCGTATTTTCTGGATTGTTTTCAAAAGGAGTTGAAACCTGTATTGAATTAAAGTTTGATTCAACTTCTAAGCACAACGGAATTGCGAAAGGATTCATGCCTAGTAAAATTAACGAAATCTGTTTACTGAAAATGGTCTTCACATACGAATTTATTACGATACTCTTGTGTAACATGTCACAAGTCTTTTTCCATTTTGTTGATAAAAGCTGGATTTCTCGAAAATCTTATTTTTTATTTTTTCAATCCCACCTCTCTAGACCAATAATGCGTATTGCCGCATTTCGGAAATCGGCAAGAAAACTTAATTTGAGAAGCTATTGTGAAAAATATGAAAATGTAGCGCTAACTATCAGTACGGAAATCAGCTCATTAGTACAAAAATTTATATTACATGTATACGCTACATTTATACTACATACGTGCGCAACTTATCACAAGAAAGAAATACATCACAGATGTATATTTGTTTGCCTTGTTAATCATTGATGGCACATTTTCTTATCTGAAGATACGGTAATATCTCGACGCTAAGTCTTATATAATTTGGCAACCAATTCCATCATACCATATTTCCAGTTTAAATTTCATATCTTGGAATTTCCTATAGAAAAAAACATTCAATTATTAAATGGATTTGAAACTGAAGAAAAGATAACTTAGTAAATTAAAATATTACTTTCATTTTTTTGCAAAGTTTTCAATTTATTTCAATTTCAATTGCATACGACAATAAATGTATTCACACTCATCATTCCAGTAAAAATCTCCATACTATAACGTTCACATTTTCAGGAATTAATCTCTGGTCGGAGGCAGTCGTTATTACTGATTTCAATCTACTTCAATTAGTTCAATTCCAGCTCACCGCTGTTATATTAAGCTTCTTCATATACACAAACAAGTACAAATACCTATAATCTTTGAATAGACTACGAAAAAAAAATTATCTTCATTGCATCGATAAATTTTGAATGATAATCAATATTTTTCGTTATTAAACTCACCATTTTAATCTATTTTGTTCTTTTTCCTTCGATCACTGTGTCTCTTTCACTGCAGCGAATTCTCGTTTTTGAAAGCAGTTTAATGATAATGAAAGAAAAGAAAGAAATAATGAAAGCAGATAATGATTTATTAGTTTTAATATTTATTACTCATTAAGTCTTAACAATTATTACTTTTAATCATTTACTCGTTTTCAATCACCTTTTTTTATTCCATTTTAATCTGACAAAGAATGGTAAAGTTCTGTTCTTCGACGTTATTCGGCTCGCGGCGCGCGATATATTTCCCCCGTTTTCGTTAAAAAGCCTGTCCCCCATTCTTCGATCTTAGCTTTAGCTTCATTTTATTAAGGTGGCAAAGATATATAAACTTGTAGAGGTACTGCAGTACATTACTTCTAAAACCATAGTACTGAAGTTGAGAAAGTCATGGCAAGTCCAAAAAATTACAGCACGTCTAATAAAGTTCAAAGATATAAAATATCGGCTATAATTGAAGAGTTTGCCGATAATCTAATGAAAATAAGTGGAAAGTGTATGGACATCGGTTGCGGTCCTGGAGATACAACAAAGGAATTTCTGTTATCGAGTATAAACTCCAATGGACAAATAATTGGTAAAGAATAATAAATTGTAAAATTATAATATGACAAAAATCATGACATTATAAATAATTATTCAATTAAATGCTTTTGCTAAGGTACGGATATTTCGGAGAGCATGATTAAATATGCAAATGATACATTTAAAGACGAAAAACGGCTTCAATTCGACACACTAAATATTGAAACTAAAAATTTACCTAAGAAATATATTTCACAATTTAATCACATATTTTCGTTTCACACTTTACATTGGTGCAACGATATCCGGTAAGTAATGTACTATATAAAACATAATTTAAGCTAAAATATATTTAACTTTTAAATAGTAAAAATAAAAAGGATTTCCGAAATTCAAATAAATCAAATAAAAAATAGAGCTATATCCTGTTAAAAATTCGTGTAAATTTTTTGTACTTCAAATCTTAAAAAAGTTGTTTATATAGTAATCTTGATAGATCATACACAATGATCTATCAAGATTACTATATAAACATATATGATGAAAAAAATCTTATATAATTTATTTATGAATTTCACCAGTCTTTAATAACCTCAGGAATCTGGAATGAATCGTATATATGACATTTTTATATCATAAAAAAAGATTTTGCATTAGCCTTATAAAAAAGTCTTTAAAAAAATTTTTTTTAATAATTTCTTTACAGATCATCCAAGAATATAGTATTAAAAAGAAGTTCTAGTCTAGAGCTCCAAAATTTATATATTTTTTACCAATTTTTTTTATAAGAAAAGGAAAGAGATATCAAAATAATGCTTTTTGCATTATGTTTTTTTATATTTCAATATATAAAAAAAAGTTTTTATTTTTAGAAATAAATTTTAGAAATAAATTTTTAGAAAATTGCGACTGTAGCATATGAGTGTTAATTAAAACGTGCAGCAAAACGTGTACGTGGTCAATTGGCAGGAAATCTTGAGTGTCGACAGTTTATCTGAGACAAAAAATCAATGAAATTATTAAAATATATTAAATTTGTGGGGCCATGAACTTCATTTCATTTGAAAAATTTGAAAATTTACAGAATGACAACTATTTGAAATTAAGTGTCAATTTTCACGAACTTTTTTTCATTTTCAATCTGTTCAAAAAAATAGTTATTTTGGAAAATTTATGACATTTCTAGATTCATGGCTTCATAAAAACTGTCTATTTTACGTGGGAAAAAACTTCATGTCAATTGGATGATTAGTTGAAGCTATAGGATTTCCCGCCAGTTTGAAAAATGTGAATTCGAAAAAAAACGTTTAAAGTTTTATTTTATGATAACAATATTTACTTTTTGTTAACAATATTTTGCAACTTAATTTAATTAGCGATTCCTGATTCCCCTAATAAGTCAATTTCCCCTCCTGTTCGAAGAACAAATTTTGCTGCATTTCAATTGCAATTTTGAGTCCTTCTTCTCTCGATTCTTGCTTGCTTTGCACATAATACTGTTGAGCTCATTTGATTTTTGATCGATGCAAAAGCCAGTTCAACAAGTCATAAATTGTTTTAAAATTTTGCAAAATCCTTTTAATATTGCAAAATCCTTTTAAAGATATATTCTACACATTTTAGAGATGCAAAAAATATATAGAGATGCAAAACATATAATTACAAAATAATTTATCTTTCAAGTTGGTGCAGGAATCTGGCATGAATCATACACAATTTGTATAACAATGAAAAGATTTTAATTGCTAATTTAGCCTAATAAAACACTCTTAAGAAATAATTTCTTTACAAAATAATAAACGTATTAATCATCTCAGTAAATGAAATGGAATTATTGAATAAACAGAAAGTGGATTGAATATATGAAATGAAAAAGAATTAACAAAAATTAAAAAATTCATTAGAATACTGAAGATAAATGAATAAAAAGTTGAAACGTAAATTATTTCTGTCTTATGAACTGATAAATTATAATTTCGCTATAACTGACATAGGCATTTTATGCTCCTTTTCCAAATTTGAATTTTAAGTTTGATTTAGTCGAGAAGCTGTTATTCAATTTGTGTAAAAAGAATTTTATTTTAACTAAAATGAATTTTCTTTTAATCCCACTCAACTCCCTGCTTATCCCAATCCATTTTATTTACTGGGACAAGCAATAAAATCACACAAAATTCCAATAGTATACTTGTAATTTTCATAATGACATTCCAGTTATATTCATACAAAATTTACATAACCTGCGCGCAAGATTCATATAACATGCGTAAGAGTCATATAACACGTTTATAAGACGTAACATGGGTATAAGATTCATGCAAGATTTTTTATTTATTCACTGGTATCGTATACGATATATTCTTATACGATTTTGTATGTTTTTGTCCGAAATTCGTATATAAATCTTGGAAGATTTTAGAGAGTTTTTCTTATAAGAATTTGCAGCAAGATAGACATCAACCGGATTGCAAATGCAATCAACTTAATAAGAATCATTTTAATTAGTAACATATACATAGAGTAACACAAATCGCAGTTATTGCAATTCTTATTAATTAAAATTCTTAATTCTTATTGCCTAAACATTATAAACTTTTTAATCAAACTTAAATTAATTATTTCTTTTAACTATATTTATGCGTATGTATCAAATTTAAAATAAAATTAATTAAATTCTCTGTTTAACAGACAAGCCTTAGAAAATATTTATCAAATGCTACATTCTGATGGAACTATACTTTTGCATCTAATAGCATCTCATAAGATGTATGAAGTTCTCAGAATTTTAGCGCGGGACACTCGTTTTGCATCATATATGCCTGTAATATATTATTGAAATATAATTATAATTTAATTTGTTTTTTAACTATTT